GAGGAGGGTAGAGAGAATAGTGCAACAATGAATGAATGGAAACCCAAAATCTCTGTAAATGTTTATGAAAATTAATAAAATATAGAAAAAAAATTAAAAAAAAAAGATTACTTCTTGCTCTGAACAGAATGAAGCGGACCTTAGCTCTGAAGACTACAGAGGAGACATACTAACCCTTGAATGCTGATGGGGTTTGATCTATGCCAAGCTTAATGAGGCTGGACCAAAGGAGAGATAGGAAACAAATGCAGCTAACAAAATTAATCTCAAGAGGTACAAATGGTCAATATGCTTGTTTGCTAATCAAAAGTTTGAAAGTACAGTTCACCTAGAGATGCCTCAGAAGAAAGGCCCAGTGCCCTACTTTTCAAAAAGCAGCCACTGAAAAGCTTATAAGCATGGTTTTACTCTAATACATGGAGGACCATTGAGTCAGAATCTCCAGCAATTGGCTGGTCAGCAAGCAAAAAAATTAAAACAGAAACAGCCCCGAAGCTCAGAGCACACTGGATGTAAGCCTGACAATTTAAAATATATCCTATAGGCAATAAGAAACCACTGAAAGTATATTCTTTAAGCAAGATATTATGTGTCTGAAATGAGTTGGTCTGCTCTCCATCAAGAGACACTTAGAAATGGGGTGGGGACATGGTTGCCACAAAGCCTGGGGAATGAAGAATATTCAGTCCTTGTAATGCGCAAGACAGCTGCATGTAAGAAGAAATGTCCCATCAAGAGTAAGGTTGAGCCAATATTCCTACTTTGTGAAGTAAGTTCATAAAGGATCTTTATGAAAGGGGGAGGGGGGGAAAATCCCCAAAACTTCTTTAAAGTAAAAAGGGACAGGCCATCCCGCCCAGGTGTTGCTCTGATCAATTACATGTGGTATGCTGCCAAGTGGTGCCTCCCTGTCAGGCCACGGCCATCGCTCCTACAGGCGGCCTGCTAGTGATGAGTCTCACGAACTGTTGCTGAGGACCACGCTCCAATCCTCCTTGCAAGCGCTGTTACTGCAAGCTTAAGAGACTACCCCACACCCACTCCCAGCCCAGCCTTAACCCCATTGAGTAATTTATTAATTAAACAGACTTAATAATTGAGAGATTTCTATGATTAATGTCAGCTGTCTGAAAAGACAGAAATCACTGGAAATGCAGGGGGAAAATAAAGGCATAGCACTGGACAAGAGGAGGCACAGTGTTAACCACACCTAGCCAAACCTTGAATGAGTGGCATAGCACTGGACAAGAGGCATAGCACTGGCCAAGAGGAGGCACAGTGTTAACCACACCTAGCCAAACCTTGAATGAGTGGCATGACTTTGGACAGGTCTCTTCCACACCACCCTTACACTGTGCCTCAGGCACCTTCTACTACCAAAATTCAAGGGAGGGTCTCTCTTCTTTTTTAAGAGTCAATATTATTATTGTTGCTAGACATGCTTTGGACATGTTGCCAGGAGGGACGGGTCCTTGGAGAGGGACATCCTGCTTGGGAGGGTGGAGGGACGGCGCAAGAGGGGAAGACCCTATATGAGATGGATTAATTCGGTGACTGGAGTAATCAGGATGGGTGTGTCGGACGGAGGCAGTGCGGTTGGCGCAGAATAGAGCAGGATTTAGGGTCGCTATGAGTCACAAACGAGTCGGCGGCACATAACAACAACAGGTGTTGTCAACTACGCAACTCATAGGCACTGGATGATCAAAACCTTGCCCCAACCTGCATCATCATCAAAGTCTCCACCACGCTCCTTGTTACGTCACTGGGTCAACTGAGCTCCTTGAGACCCATCCTCTCTCGTGTTGCCCTTTATCTGTCCTGGAATGATGTCTTTTTCCAAGGACTGATCCCTCCTGACAATATGCTCCAATATGTGAGACAGAGTTTCACCATATTTGTTACAAGGGACACATATGCCTCTAAGAAGCACCTTGGTTTCATCTCATCCAAGACAGTAAGTAGAATCTTGCTGAATTATTTAAAAATGGCTGGAACAGTCCAGGGAATTTTCAGAAATTCAAGCTCGATTTAGACAGTCAGTGAGATTAAAAAAAAAAAAAAATCAACTCAATTAAACTTTTCACCTTAGAGTAGGAACTGACTCATATTTTACCCTCCACTGGGTGTCCAAGGTTGTATATCACACAGGACAAAACTGACCCCCAATGAGATGGGTTGACACAGTGACTGTAAGGGGAGGATTGAGTGTGTCAGAGATGATGAGGATGGCACAGGATAGGGCAGGGTTCAGATGCATTGTTCAATGGGTCACTATGAGTCATACTCAACTAACAACAATGACATTCATTAGAGTCCTCGACCACACCTAACAAAGACAGCATAGTCCTTCTGGAGTTGTCTGAACCTAAAGGAGGCACCTCTCTGGTGGTTCAAACCCACCAGTCACTCTGAGGGAGAAGGAGGGACGACCTCATCCAGTGTAGTATACAGTCATCTGAAAGCCCACTGGAGAGTCTATCAGTCTGTTCCACTTGACAGAAAGATGTTTGCTTTTGTTTTTTGTTTCGTGGGGGTAAGGTTTAAAAGTGAGAAAAGAAGAATGCCTCTATTCTTAGTCCTATTCCTATTCCTATTCTTAGTCATAGGAAGAACAATGGTAAAGGGGTGTTGTGTCCATGAATCAGTGACAACTCTGCATGGGAAATCAAGAGACTTGATTATTGAAGTTCACGAGCTTGACTTTTCACATTGTATATGAGATCCTTCTTTTTTGGTTCCTTCCCTGTCCTTGTTTATGTTCTTGTTACATGAAGATGAGTCAGAACTGACTCACAGTTGACCCTCCAGCGAGTTTTCAGACCCTGTAAATCACAGAGGAGGAGATTGCCCATCTTTCTCCTGAGGACCCCCTGGTAATTTCAAACCACTTGTCTTCGGGATGGCAGCACAAACTTCCTATCCACTAGGCCACCAGCGATCCCTGTTACCTTGTATATATGCTATGAAATAAACACTGGCTAAAGTGGAACTTCCTAAAAGGCAAGGACCATATCATGATGATTACTTAACCAACATTAAGGCTGAGGACAAAAATCAGTAAGGAAAAAAAAACCATTGAAGACCTGTTTTATTCTTAAATATGGCTGCTTATCTAGACTCATTTGATTTTTTTTTTAATACCAAAACCAAATACCTCTTTCAGAGTTGAGAAATACCGATTTTGGTTTGGTTTTGCTTATTGAGGCTCAGTTTTCTTCTAAGTAGGGATAAAAGTATCTGTTCTGCTTTCAGAATGACTAAAGTGGGAGTAAGTGGGGAATAAGTGGGATCAAATCAGTGCCTGTAAGTATTTATGCACCAGAAGTATATTTGGTTAAATTTTGATAAACAAATGTATTAAAATGATTTCCAGAAAAATTTAAATATATAATATTTCAAATGGGTTAGTAACACCCTTGCAACTTCTTCATAACTTTAAAATAATCCCAAGATATTTTAAGAGAATTAATATAATAGGATGCAGTGATTTCTACAGCAAAGGCACACATTAATTTAATAATCCTATGTTCTCTAGAGCAAGCTAGGGTATTTGTACCTTTTAGGATGGTCCATAGGAAAATAGGCAATTGCTGAAGAATGACAACTCACACATCAGTATGCAAATCTTTGGCTCTAAAGCCTTGTCCATTGTCCCCGGCTCCATATATTATTCCATCATTGCAGATATATATGCCTCTTTGGAGGCCCACCATGTCCATCTCCTGAGAGTCCTGGGACAAATTACCTTTAGAACAATCAGCTTTATAGCATCTTCTTCTGTCATTTTGTTCCTTGTCAACAGCTTCCCTGTGACATTATTTATG